GTATTACCTTATCGAAAAATAGTGTTCGCTCGTTTTATAAAAAAGAGCCAAAAATTAGCCTTTCCGAAAAAGTGCGAATGCGGGGAAAAATTTAGTTGATGATTGCTTAACCGATGCCAAAATTGCGCTTATTTTAAGTTTTTTAACCGGAAGGAAAAGCGGTTATACATTAGATTTTTAGATAATTTTGGGCTTTCTCTCAGGTTGAAAAAGTTTCTCCCAATTCGGTAAAGATTTTTTGCTTATTTTTTTCTAAAAGAATGAATTCTAAGGAAAAATTAGTCATCTTTGGTTTTTGGGTTAAAATAGAAACGGTGAAATTCTCGTCTTTGCTCTTGAGGAAAACGACAATTTTTTTAATATTTGTTGAACCTCCTCGGCATGTTTGATATTTTTGGTAATAATTAACACCAAGGCCTCGCGAGAAGGTAATTTTTGTTGCTGAGCATAAACATCCAATAATTTTTGCTTTCTTTCTAACAAAGCAATAGCATCTTTTAATTTACTTTCTTCATTATCTCAACTATCGGAACGACCAACTATACCGGTTGCTTTACTCATCACTTAATAATTCATAGGCTTTTAACACTCTATCTCTCATCATGGTTAATCAAACTGAATGCTCCAACTGGTCGTCATAATTAGCAAACGTTTGTCCGGTATTAAAAGGTGGGTCAATATAAATCAACTTGACTTTATTCACATACTTTTTTCTATATTCTGGGATTTTGGTTAAACTAGTTAGAGCATTTAAACTATCACCGCAAATTATTAGATTAGCAGAGGCATTTTGAGTGAAAGAATTAGCATTCTCTTTCCCAAATTTTTGTTTTGCTGAATACATTTCCACTGACTTTAACAATCTTACTTCCAAAACTCGGTAATCGTTCGGTTCTACTCAATTCATATTGACCTTTATCATAATCTTTAACAATCGGAGTCTTATTTCTATTAGTTAACAAAAATCCTAATCAAGAAATTCTATTTTTCCGGGTCGCTTTTCACTCGTTAAAAATATCAATAACTAGGGCTTTAATTTTTTTATCCTTATATTTAGGGATATCTTTGGAAATTACCTTCGGCACAGGCTCATTGAGATGAGCAAAATACTTGTCTTCCAAAGCCTCCAGAAATTTTTGTCGGTCAACGTATCACCAGGGTTCCATGAAGCGGTAATTAATTTTTTCGACAAAAGGAAAATCACTTACATTTCCTTCATTATCAATTTGCATAAAAGAGCGTGTAATATTTCTCCTTTCTTCCTCTCTTAGATTGGATTCTCTGATTTTTGTTTCCTCCTTTATTCTTCTCCTTTCTTGTTCCATGCTAATCGATATTTTCAAAAATTTTTCTAGCCAGGCTTCGAATCTTTCACCTTCCCCACCTTTTACTCTGCTAATTACCTCCTGCGTTTTGTGTTTTTTATCCAATAATTTTTCTCACTCATTTT